AAGGCGTAGGTCCTTCCTGTTTGTTGCATTTCTGAGGTCGTGTCCAGAAGTGATCTTCTTCTTATCTGTGGCTTCTTTTTTTTTATGTTTTTTTTTCTAATTTCACTTATTGCCTCATCGCACATTTTTATTGCAATTTATTATTATTATATTCTTGTTTGGCGCGGAGGAAACAATATTTCTTCTCGGTAGGCCACCACAGACGTGGAATATACCCGGGTCATTCGCACAGAAGTTGGCTCCTCGCTGAATTCATGTGCAACTGTGAAGGTCCCCCACTCCGGCCGGGGAAGCCGCGACCAATGCCATCGACCGATCCGCTGCCGATATATCTTGACTACAATGCCACCACCCCGTTGTGTGAGGAGGCCTGGGAGGCCATGGTGCGCGTGCGCAGTGCGTGGGGCAACCCCAGTTCCTCACACCCGTACGGTATGGCGGCCAAGTTTGCCCTGGAGGAGGCACGGAAAAAGGCTTCTGACGCCATACACGCCGAAGGGCCTGAGACTATCCTCTTCACCTCAGGTGGAACAGAGGCAAACAATCTTGCCATCATTGGTGGGGCAACGAAAGCTTACGTGCGGGATCCAGCCCGCTGTTGTGTCATTGCCACTGCTGTGGAGCACCCCGCCGTGGAGGAGGTGCTAACATTTTTGCAACATCCGAATCTGCTCCGTCGGGAGGAAGTTGGCTTTATCGCGCACCGTTTTCCTGTGGATGAGAAAACCGGGTGTGTCGATCCTCATACATGGCGCCAACTGCTTCTTCAGCTTCCTGGGGGACCCAGAAGTGTGGCATTGGTTTCCGTTATGTATGCAAACAACGAGGTCGGGTCAGTCAATCCAATCCGTGAGCTTGTGCACTTGGTAAAAGAGTTGTGTGGGGCAGAAGTCCTCTTTCACACAGATGCTGCTCAGTCTATTGGCAAAGTGTCAGTAGACGTAAGTTTGTTGCAGGTGGATTTGTTGTCCATTTGTTCCCACAAGTTCTACGGTCCCAAGGGAGTGGGTGCACTGTATGTGAAGGAAGGAGTTCAATTGCAGAAGCTTCTCTTCGGGGCTGGCCATGAACGCGGACTTCGTCCAGGCACAGAAAACGTGATGCAGATCACAGGGATGGCGGAGGCACTTCATCTTGCATGTCGCAACTTGTCAGAAAATGCGAAGAAACTGCGCGCAACACGCGACGAACTACTTCATGTCATTGAAGAAGAGTTGGCAAAGGTTGGAATGGACTACGTCGTGAATGGCGATATCAGGCACGCCCTTCCAAATACACTTAATATTGCCCTGTACAAGGAGGATGGAGCAGGGCGTCGGACGTACATATCGGCCCAAAGGCTTATTCATTCCGTCGGTGATAAAGTCTGTATGTCTGCCGGATCCGCATGCCACTCCTCAGCCGAGGAAGTTTCGGTTTCCGCCCCGCTAAAGGGTGTTGGTGTGGATCTGCCGCGCGCCGTTGGAACGCTTCGCCTCTCGACAGGACGAGGGACAAGCATAGAGGAGGTACGACGGGCGGCCCGCATCATTGTGCGGCAGGCTGCACAACAATTTACCGAGGTCTAATAATGTCTCTCTTTGGGGATTGCGCTGCGGAAGCAGGTCCGACTGCATACAAAAGTAGCTCTGAAGAAAGGGAGGATGGGAGGGAGGGAGAAGAGAATAATAAAATTGAATTAAAAAAAATGGAAATTGGTTTATCTTTCACCTCATGATAAAATTCGTCTTTTGCTACTTATGTCGTTTGTGTGCTTGTCTTCCGCCCTCTTTTGCCTCTTATTGCCATGCCTTGCTCTGATAGCTGCTCCATGTAAAGACATGAGTGGCGGCCAACCACAGTCCGAGAGCAGCAGGGTTGTCTGGAATGTCGCGCAACACCTTACGGCGCGGAACGGATTCCCGTGCCTGCTGCAGCTGGAAGACGCTCAGGTGTGTGTCGACTACCCCGCAACGCACCACCCCTGCTGTTGGACGTGTGCCATGCTGCGTCCGTTGTGGGAGAGCTTCGCCGCCAGCGCCGCGGGGGGAGGAGCGGGGAAAAAAGCCACCAGTCCTCTTCAGAGCGACCCGCCAAGGGGTTCTTCTTCCGCCTCCTCATTTGGAACCTGCAACAGTCTCACGGAGCTGTCGCAGTCCATTTACTTGCTTTTTAAGCGGCAGCAGCAACAACGGCCACCGTGTGGAAGCGTGAATCGGCTACGCTACATTCATCTTGCACCTCCTGTGGTGCGTATTGGAAAGGGGATTTCAGGTACGCTGTCATTTACATTTTCGCTGCGCCGCTGCGAGGATGTGGGTGAGACGACGTCGGCGTTGTTCCCGTCTTTTCTCGCAGTTGAAGTGTGTGATTCGATTGCTGATTTTATAACGATCACCGTGTTGGAGGCTCGGCGACGTCCATCGCACGGTAATATGACACTCCTGTTACTACAAAGCATCGACAAGGCGGGGAAGGTGGCAACATATAGCACGTTTGATGCGGAGTTACGCATTGGGTGTTTCCAGCCGTCTTTCTTGTCGTCATTGCCGTGTGAATTGCCCTTGTCATTTAGGGTCTACGCTGCCTTTTACAGTTCTGTGGAGGCGCAGCTTCTTCTGGACGAGCCCTTCATGCACCTCTGGGAGTGGAAGCCAAACATGACGCAAGAGGAGCGTTTCGCCGTCGTCAACCCCAAAATGGACCCCGCGGTCGCCTTCTCCGTGGAGCGACGACGTCGTGCAAGTATGGAGCGTCACATCCGCGCTGCAGTAGCTCAGATGGACGGCATTGGAGATGCGGAGGGTTTGAAGTACTCGCCGTCTTCGTTGCTGGGAGCCAAACTTCGTCACATCGCGACTGTGCAAACGTCTCGCGGTATTGTGATGGAGCCATGCACGCAGCCGGGGAATGGCACGCTCGCGGCCGTGATGCCGCGCGACATTTCTTGGCCTCTTCAGCTTCTAGTTGCCGACGCTGGAGGTAACACGTGGCGATCTCCTCCCATCGCAGGCTCCTCATCCTTGGAAAGGCTGGCGTGCGAGCTGAGCTATCTGGAGGGGCGGAGGAGTGGTGCGGATGGTAATAATGCGCATCTGGATCCGAAGAATAAAGCGGAGTAATTCATTCTTCCTGAACCCCCTTTTCTTTGGTCTCCTGTGTCTGCGTGTCTCCATAGACCCTTTTCTTTGTTTGCTTCCCTCTCTTGTTCCTCTTGCTGTTTCCCGCGGCCGCCCCTCTTGTCGCGGCCTCATGCAGTGGCGGAGTGGTTTCCCTCCTCCTCTCGTTGTTTTGTTTTCGCCTCGTCCACACACGCAGTCAAGACGGCTATCCCGCTTCCGCTCGTGCGCGTTTGAAGGCCGTCAACCCCACAACACGTGGCGGGTGGTGAGGGGCGCGAAGTGTCCGCCAGGCGGGGGAAAAGAATAGACAAAATAACGACAAAAACCCAAAGCAAACCAAAGCAGAGCAGAACAAAAGAAAACAAAATAATAAAAAAAGCGATGCTGGCGCGGAAAGCAAATTCATTCCACTTCAAGGTGGCGGCGTTGTCGATGGTGCTGGTGAGTGAGTCGATCTCTTCGACGTTAGTTCTGCCTTTTGTAGGGCTCTTCGTTGCCAAATTGCAGAACATCTCCCCCGACGCGGCCGGCTTTCTCTCCGGTATTCTTATGTCGGTGTTTCAGCTGGGGCAGATCCTCACAGGGAAGATGTGGGGAAGAATGAGCGACAGGTTTGGGCGTAGGCCCATCATTCAATTGGGTCTCTTTTTTAGTGCCGTTATAGCGGTTTTTTTCGGAGTGAGTCCAAACATTGAATTCTGCATCCTGATGCGTTTCCTGCACGGGTGCGTCAACGGCAACGTGCTCGTCGCCAAAACGGTTATTGCCGATATAACAGATAAGACGACGGAAAGCTTTGGGTTCGCCACCATCTGCCTCTTCTGGGGCGTAGGCTCTATTGTAGGACCTACGTTGGGAGGGTTACTCTACGACCCCGTGCAGAACCCAACGTTGAAGCAGTTCTTTGCCCCCGAAAGTGCAACGGCGGATTTTTTCACGGTTCACCCTGCATCGCTTCCCATGTTGATGATTGCCGCCTTCTCTGTCTTGGCGTTGCTGTCTACGTGTATACTTCTTCCTGAAACGAGCAAAAATGCGGTGGATCCCTTGCTGTCACTCTGTTGCAGCCGTCGCGGTACCACCGTACAGCTTGTGGAGGAGGTCATGGAAGGAAGGGAATCGCAGGACGAGGAGGACAGCCCGACACTCACCTTTTTTGAGGAGCCTGACGGTGTGGCTCGTGAAGAGGAACTGCAACAGCGGGAGGCGAGTAGTGGTGGGGCAATGTCCGTAGAGGAGGGGTCCCCGCAACCCTCCGTGACTTTGGAGGGTGTTTCTATGGTGAAAAGGATGCGTAATCGAAAGTCAGAGCCTCTATTAGAAGGCCAGAATGATAAGGAAAATAAGTCGCATTCTACGTTTGGTTACCGCGAAGCTCTGCAAACTTCAAACACGCAATTGGTTCTGATTATGTACATGTGTATCGCCTCATCCGAATGTGCCATGTTGGAAGTTGTCCCACTTTGGTCGATTGCCTCAGTTAAAAAAGGTGGCCTCGGCCTTCAGTCTTCCGATGTAGGTTGGTTAATGTGTCTGGCTTCCATAGTGTGCGTCATTGCAAATCTCAGCTTTGGTTTCTTGTCGCGATGTCTGCAAAACAATAGGATTATTTGGGACGCTAGCATCATAGTATGGAGTTTGACTACTGTGGCTCTCCCCTGTGCGATTTTCTTCCCTCCGAAGCTGATATACACCTGCGTTGCCCTTATAAATGCCATCCGAGAGGTTGCACTGTCATGGAATTTCGCCTTAATTTACCTCTTTATCGCTCGATCTGCACCGGAGGAGCACATGGGGTCAATGAATGGAGTTGCCCAATCTGCTGGCTCCTTGTCGCGCATGTTAACCATGCTGGCGATTCCCCCAATATTTGCATGTTCCCTTAGTAGCACTTATTCCTTCCCTTTCAATCATCATTGCGTGTTTTGGCTGAATGCATTGCCTCTGCTTCTGAGCTACGTTCTATCAACGTATCTTTCACCGTCCATACTGAGTGGGTAGTTACATGAAAAGGGTGGGAAGTAAGTTCTGAAGACTTCCCGGGGTTACGAGAAACGCGTCGGGGAAGTGAGGCCTTTTTACTCTTTTTTTATTTGTGTTCATTTTTGGCAGTAGACTGCTGAAAACAAAAAGACAACGCGGACGAGGAGGAAGTGTAAACTAGTGTTGTTCATCTTGAACAGTTTGCCGACTTCCTTTTTTTTTTTTTCTTGAGTTTGGCCTCGGTTGAGCATCAAGACGTCGCGGTTTTGGGCCTCATGGCAGTTGGTAAATTTTCCTTACTACCCCCCCCCCAGCCTCGTAGGGGCTGCCTCTCCGCAGGTTTCCTGGGCTGTTTGAGAAGAGCAGGAGAAGGAGGCCTAGCTGCGATGCCGCTTCGTAAGTGGCACCAAGACGCAATGTTTGACGCCCATGTATGCATTTTTATTTTTGGTTTGTTTTAGGTATCATCACTGTTGCGGTACAGCTGTGTCATTATCTAGAGTGTTTTTCTGGAGTGTTTCTTTTTTTCCGTGTTTTCTTCCGCTTTCTGATGCGATCACCGCCGAAGAAGAATATCTTGTCCTTGTCACTTCACAAGTGACGTAATTCCCCAGAGAAATTTCCGACACACAGAAGGATAAATGTACCATTGTTTTCATCCCTTGTGGTTTTGGCGTCCTTGTATGTTCTTCCGTTCGAGTTCCTTCGTTGTTTGTTTGTTATATTTGTTGCCGCGCTTGACTGTTTGGTGTTTTTAATTTTTTTTTTCTTTGCTCCCACCCCGCTCTCCACAGCTTGTTGAAGGTGTACGCGGCCAGATGGAGCTATTTAGAAATGGGACCGCGCTGGAACCTGGCGCTCATGGCTTCGATGCTGTTTTGGTTTGGGTACGTTTTTTTTTTCTTGCCTTCCCACCCAATAAACCGCCTCCCACCGCTGCTGCTCTCCACGCAGAGGAGTGGCCGGCGGATGCGGGGCCCCACTGAATTCTGCCACTTCGCAATTCCCCGACGAACCTGATCATCGCGGCAAAGACTGTTACGAATAATGTTGTTTATATGCTGTGTTTCTCGCTCGCTCTGTGTGTGTGTGTGTGTATGCGTGCGTTGGATGAATCCCCCCTGTACGTAAGGGAGGAGGGAGGGGGGGGGTGTTGGGGGCGGTGGGTCAAAGTGAAGCCTCTCTTTGTTGTTGTCCCTGCACTGTAGGAATAGGAGGGCCAGGACCACACGCCCTGTCCCATAATATTGTGTCTTGGGCCGCTTTAGGGCAGGCAAGAAGGGAAGGGTCAAAAATAGCTATAGAATATACAAGTCCACACACAGTCACACCCACCAAGAAGCAGAGGAGAGCGTTACTTTTATTATTAGCGCCACAAGACATAAAAAGCCGTGTACTGTGTTTGCCACTTGGATACAAGGAGGCAACAGCAACAGGAAGGAAGGGGGTGAAAAGTTCTACCTTTTTTTTTTCTTGTTTCCCACTGGGGCGGGG